ACCCCCCGCCCCAGGTGCAGCCCCGAGCCCTCCTGCCTCGCTTTCTGGGGGCTTCCATCTGAAATCCTCATTGTGTTACATCCGGTTTCTAGTCTGGCCAACAGCCTCTCAGGGCCCAGCCCTCACCCCGGGGCTCCTGCTGCCCAGGGAGGCTGCCGAGGGCTTGCTGGGTAGGTCACAGAGCAGAGTTCTTTATTGCTCAGGAAGCTCTCAGGGGACCCCAGCAGAAAGAATGGGCAGATTCACGTCCCCTCTCTTCAGCAGACCAGGCGCACTTGTCAGGCCTTGCCTGGGAGGACAGGGGCCACCATAGGCCTCAGGGGGAGGGGGTCCCCAGGGGCCAGAGCCATGAAGGTGTGGTGCTCCATCCCCATGAGCTCATTCCTTCCAGGTGGAGGGAAGCCGCTGGCGGGGTGGGGCCAAGGCAGAGACACAGGCAGCAGAGGTTGGGAGGACTGTTTATTCAAGGCACGGTCACAGCATTGATAACAAGAAGGTTCGGCATTCTGGCACATTCCTTCAGTGGTGTGGCCAAGGGAAGTCATACCCCTCACGTGGGTCCCCAGAGGTGGCAATGCTGCTGATAGGCACTTGGCTTCCAGAAGCGTCTGAGGAAGGGGCAGGCGTGGAGCTGCTCTAGGCTGAGTGGGGCACTTCTTGAAGGCTCTATACCGGGTCCCCCACCCTGGAGGCAGCTCCCTCCAGAATGGGTCAGGTCTGAGAGGGGTGCAGTGGGGTAGGTGGAGGCCAATGCGTGAGGCAGGAGCGGGCTGAGAGCAAGCTGGTGTGGGGGAGGTGCCTGGATGTGGGGGGTCAGGAGCCAAAGCACATCCCACCCCGCACAGTGATGGAGGGGGGTTGAGCAGCTGTGGTGGGGCCTTGCCAGTTGCTCTGGGTCTCCAGGAAGGCTAGCGAAGTGAGGACTCCGGAACTTTCCTAACATTCGCGCGCTGCCTTCTCTCAGAACCAGTCTGCACTTGACCCCAATTCAGAGGGGGAAGCCCCCTCTCCGGACACACTGCCCTGTCATCTGCTGTGACCCTTTGCATATGCAGCTTCCACAGGCTGCCAGGTGGGCAGGGGAGGAGAGAGGAGAGGTCGGTGCCCAGTGAAGGCGAGCCCACAGGCCAGCTTTTGGCAGGACCCCCCCCCCCAAAAAAAAACCCAACAACACAAAAAACCACTCTGGGGGGCAGGCAGTGCCTGGAGCTCTCTGCTGGGGCCCTGACCACCCTGCTCTGGAAAGGACCTATGCTCTGGTGGCTGGTGGAATGCTCAGGGGAGGGGGCCTGGGGTTATGAGGGACTGACTGGGTATAATTCCCTCCTTTTCTGAGCTGGAGTAGGAGGGGGAAGCCTGCCTCCTCCCTAGCAGACTCAAGCTCTCTGGAAAGATCCCTCAAGCCAAAGTCTGGGCCAAGGAGAATCTCTGGGTGAAGCTTGAAACTTCTGGAGCTGGGATGTGGGCAAGGATGAAGCAAGGACATAGTTCAGGGTCACCCATGAGCCTGGGACCCAGCGAGGGGCCCCGGGGCCCACCTTCAGCAGGTTGGCTGCAGGGGCCCCGGCCTTTGGAGGAAGGAGCTCTAGAGCATGCAGACGCCATTCGACTTGGCTCGTTCTGGTCCACGGAGGCCCCCGCTGCCCCTTCTCTGTGTGCGCATCTGCTGGGCCGCCTGGTAGTCCTGATGGGGACCTGTCCCCGGAGGCAGAGGCCTGCACCCCCTGCCTGGGGCAAAGGTCCTGGGTGTCCCCAGCACTGGTTCTGCTCAGGATTTGGCTCCAGGCCTCAGGAGGTGGCAGCTCTGGGAGGCAGCCTTCCTCTGCCAGAAGGGGCTTCTCTGGAGGTCACAGCCCCACCCCAACCCACTCCGTGCCGGGCCTCAGCAGTGTCATAGCCAGGACCACCCTGGAGACCACTTGAGTCTTCAGTCCAAGAACAGAGGCAAGGTCTTACCTGGAGGGCGGGGAGTGGCCAGGGCCTTCGGTTTGAAGCATGGGCTCCTTACCCCAAGCTGCTGCCCACCTCGGCCACACGGGGCCCAGGCGCTGAGGTGGGCATGAGGCAGGAGCAGTTCTCAGGGGCCAACTCCTTGGCCTGTGGGGTCCTCTGATTAGGCCCTGGGGCTTGGGGAGCTGTGCCTGGTTTCCCATCGCCCGATGTGTTGGGAGAAGACCCCCGCTCCGTGAATTCTCCCTCTGCCCCTCCCCCCTCAGAGTAACAGCCGAGGTTTGCCTTTATCAAAATGCACACAGGTCCTGTTTAATGAGTCCTGAGTGATCGTGTCCCAGCGACTCTTACAGGAATAGAAAGGGGAGGGTCTCTGCCCTGCTGCCCCGGGGACTTCTGTCGGGGGCAGAGGAACAGGAGGGCCTCGTCGCCTTCTCTCTAATCTTGGGTCTCAGCTGCCCCTTGCCCGGTAGAGGCAGAAATGTCCTCTTTACAGAACCCCCTGCAGGGGAGGAAGCCAGGGTGAGGTGGTTTCTGTCTTGTCCACGAGGCCCAGCACACGTACCTTTGCCTCCTCAGAGGGAGGGGCCGGGAGTGGGGCAGGGTGGGTGGGAGCAGCAGCAGAAGCTCCGTGGCAGGGCAGCGAAGACCCCAGGGAGTCGTCAGCGGGCTTCTTTCCGCCTCTTCCCTTATGCACACGTCTCTCCATCTTGACCCCAGGAAGGTCCCGAGCCTTCCGGCTCTGTGTCCAGGGCTTCAGCCACCTCTCCCAAGGCATGGCCCTTGCCTGTGTCCTCTACCTCATCCTGGGGTCCCTGTGCACTGCCCAGCACCTCCCATTCTAGCTGGTCAGCAGGCCGGGGCCTCCACGTGGCCAATGGCCAGATGGGCAGACGTCTTCCTCAGGCCTTTCCGAAGTCTGCAGGAAGTCGTGGGGAGGTCCGGGCTGCCCTCTGCCTCCCCCGGCCTGGCCCTCCCCTGGCTGCCACTCCCAGCTGGAGCTGCCAGGGCGAGGCCTCGGGTCCTGGTCAGTGGTACTGGCTCGGGCCCTCCAATTCCAGGCCTTCCTGGAACTGGGCCGAGTCCAGCTCCCTCGCAAAGCCCCTCACACCACTCTCCTCTTCTCCCTCTTCTGGCGCTCTGTTCATGGTGCCGTAGGTGTGCTGGGCGGGCGAAGAGGCTGGGGTCAGGTTCATCTCTGGCTCTTGCAGCACGGTGGCCACATACAGCTGCTCAGGACAGAGAGGGGGAGATCGAAGTGAGGTCACATTTGGGGCAAGATCCTGGACACACCCTTTACCTTACGCCCTACCCCCAGAGCCTCTGGCCCCTCGAGCCACGGTCCTTCTTCACCAGCTGCCCAAGTCCTGGCCATCCCCCTGCCCAGTTGCTCTTGGTCATTTAATGGGCATCTACAAGCTCCCAGGCCTAGTCAGTGCATTGTTCCTCCAGCGCCTGTGCCATTCATTCTGGGTGCCGGGTCAGGCTGGGCCCGGGGGGAGATGCCAGTAGGCTGGCCTGTGCTGCGGTCTGGGGAGACCCTCCCCCCGTTCCTGAGCTAGTGACTTTCTAACACAATTTCAAAGGCGCATCCACAACTCCCTCAGGCTGGGTCATTGGTTGGGAATCAAGATTTGAAACCGAGACTGTTAACTGAGGTCTTGGTCATATGACCTGTCAAACCCAGGAAGACACACAGGAAGTACTAGGGATAGCACTTGGAACGGCTTTCAAACCAACTCCTTATTTTAAAAGTAGGTAATTATGGGATAGAATTAAGCCCTTCCTGTAGGAATTCATTTCAGTGAAACCAAGCAGCCCTCGCTGATGCGGGAACAATTTCCCTACAGAAGAGTCTAGACATCTGCTTAACGCCAAAGCAAACCCCACAGATGACCTGTTGGCGGTAAGTGGGGAAATTGTAACCGAACAATAGAAGAAGCCAGCTGTCACCCCTGATCAGGGAGTCACCTCAGCACCATGAATGGGAGTAAAAGGGACATGATGCATCTGGTATGAGGCACAGTGCTGCCTGGAATGTGGTCTGGCACCTAGTGTCGAACTGGCATCTATCAAGCCTTTGGAACTAACTTCTAGTTTTTAGGAACTACAGGAGACAGTGGAATTTGCTGTAAGAAACAGAAAAACCCAGAAGGTGGGACATTCTGCAGGACTCCTGGCTTGGTTTTTCCAACGAGCATTAAAAAGGGAAGGTGCTAGAATTAAAGGGACATGCATAAGGGCCGGATTAATGGGGCACAGAGAATGGATTCTTTTGGACAAGCTGTGAAAGATATTTCTGGACCATGGGGGACAATTTGAACATGGACTGAGTATTTGAAGAGGTAAAAATTTATATGGAAAGATGGGGATCGTTAATGAAAACATGAGTTATATATCGGTATACAGTATTATTTCACTTTAGCAAAAATTTTATATATGGAAGATTATAACTTAGGTATCAGTGCTCATCTCTGGGTGGTGAAAATATGGGCTTTTTGTTTTCTTATTTTTGCTTAGCTGTTTTCCCCCTTAATATCTGCATATACCACTGTTGCAATGACGAAAGATTAGAAAAATCAATTCCAGTAATTTTTATTTTTAAGCTCATGCTTTAGAGTCAGACCTGGCTCAATCTTTGCTCTGCATTTCCCTGCCTTGTAGCACCCTGGGGGTCTAAATTAATTGGCCTTTTTGAGCCTCAGTTTTCCCATCTGTAAAATGAGGATAAAAACCCTTACTGTGTGGGTTTATCATAAAGAGCGAGAGCGAGAATGGAGGAGTTCTGCGCACCGGGGTGCGCACGTCCAGCACGGGTGTGCCTGCACGTCCACCTGCTCTGCCAGGACTAAAGAGCCTGCTCTCCACCGGGCCCTGCCGCCCACTCTGAGTTTCCATCAGGCTGTCTTCGGTTCCCCACATGTTCCCGATCATCTCTTCCAGGCCTTTGCATAGGCTGATCCTCTTCCTCGAATGCTCTTCCCCCACACCCTATTCCACCTGCCAACCCTGACTCCCATCCTGGGAGTGAGATTAGATCTCCCCTCCTCCTCCGGGAAGCCTTCCCTGAGTGCCCTCTTCAGTGTTCCTTCAAGGTGCTCGGGCTTTGGCCTCAGTGGCCCTGCATCCATACTTGTGGCTGGGAGGTGGGTGAGTGCTCATGCCCCTCTAGGCTGAGCCACCGTGTGGGAGCCAATGCCCAGCCTGCTGGACCCCTGCACTCTGAGTCCGGCCTCGTCTCTTCACATGCCGATGGGCCCGCTCATCTGGCGCTGCCCCGGCCTTACCATTCCGTCCAGACCTGCAATAGCTCCCTGTAGCTCTGTCTGCGCACCTGTGCCCTTGGAGGCAGCCTTCGCTCCTGAGGCCGAGCCCCAGCACGTCCCTGCGTCTACACGACTGAGCTCTCTGTGGATGTGTCCGAGTTCACCCTGACCTCTATCTTCCTCTTTGACTTTCTTCTAGAGATTGTTGAGTTAAACATGCCTCTTCCATCTTCCCTGCTCTTCAGCCAGGGCCACGGCAGCATTTGGACCTGGGCCAAATCCTGCTGCATCAGAGGAGGGAGCCCAGGGAGGGGGGCCCGTCTCCTCCCCAATACCCAGGGCGGGCACTAAATGCTGGTGCCCCCACAGTGCCACTGGAGTAGCCCCCCTCTAGGCATCCCCTTCTGACCTGTCCCCCGGGGAGAAGGCATTGACTCACAAGGGAGGTGGGCGTGGAGGAGGTGCTGCTTGGCTCCATGTCAAACACGGTCTCCATCTCCTCCTCTGGCTGCAGCAGTGGGGAGAAACGTGGAGGGTCACAGAATGGGGGCATCTGCCCTTTGCCCTCTCCCTCCCCACGTCCAGAGGAGCCTGGCCCTGGACCTGGGCCCATTGCTCCCTTTGAACTCAACTGATCTGCTTTCCCAGACCTGCAGCCCAGCTGAAGCCAGGGGAACAGAGAGGCGACTGGGATGCTAGGGCGACCCTCCAGGACGCGCCATTCCCACGGGCCACACTGGGGGAAGAACGTAGGTTTGGGATCGGGGTTCAAAGATGATTCTGCTTTGAGTCTAGGAAATGCCTTTATTTCAAATCTCTCTTCTCCCCCCGAGAATTTCCCCCTGTAGCTGGAACGCATCCTAAACCACTATGGTCTAGGTCCCCTGCCACCTTCCTTCTCCAGAGGGGACACTCGGACAACACGATCACGTGGCATCGTTGTATTGGGAAGACAGAGCCAGAGGTGTCACTCGCTAGCCTGGCACTCGGGCCAGGGGATGGAGGAGGGGGCCAGGAAGGGAGGGCAGTGAGGGCTTGTGCCCAGGGTCCCAGATACGGCAGATCCACTAGAAGCAAGAGGCTCCTCTTCCCAGAGGCTCCCTCCTCGGACTCCGCCGGTGCCAGTGCTTCAGATCAACTTACTTCTTTTCGTTACATAAGTGCATTTTAAAAGGGAACACTTCACTAGTATAAACAGAAAACTTGTGTCAGTTGCTATAAGCAGAAGAAGAAATAAATAGGGACCCACAGGAAAATAAACGTGTAACCACGAGAAAGCATGTCAGGGCCCACTGGAAGTCCTTCCAGCGCTCACACAGATGCCTGCCTTTGGGAAATGCTGGTGAGAGCGCACAGCGTTGCTGGCAGGGCCCTCGGTGGGCAGGGGTTGGCTCCCTGCTCTACTGACTAGGCTGGGCCCCACTGGCAGAGCGCGGAAGGAGTCACGGGGCCCAGAAAGCCAGGCGCCCCTCCGGACACCCTCAAGGCCAATATGGTGGAACTCCTAAAAGTGATGACTACCTCGTCCCCAGGCCACTGTCCTTCACTACCCCTGCCCTTCTGCTTTACTCCATCCTCTTTTAGCTCGCCAGCCCCTGGGGTGGTGCTCCCGGCTCAGTGCTGAGCAGCTCGCACGGTAGGAGGGATGGGCCAGAGGCCTGCTGTTGGGAGGAGGTGTCAGAGGGGAGAAGGGGAGAGGACAACTGTCTTCTAAATATCCCACCCTGTGAGGGGAGCAGTGCAAGGGACACACACACACACACACACTGAGTTTGTGCACCCCATAGGAGGGTATCCTAGGGCTCTGTCCCCCAGGGGCTGGGGAGAACCAGTGAAGGAAAGGCAGGCTGGCAACTCACCTCATAGTCTTCTGTCCTCGGAAGCCTCCCTATAAGAGTGCCCAGGAAGGCGATTACCATGGAAACGATAAGGGAGGCGAGGGAGAAGATGGTGATGCTGTGGAATGAACCTGCCAAGGAGAAGAAAAGGGGTTGGTGCTTGAGGAACGGAGCTGTGCCCATTAAACATGTCCCTCTCCGCCCGTCAGTCACCTCCTCTCTCACAGTCCCTGGGAAGTACCTTGGAGTTACTCGTTTGTGCCACTGCCCCCACTTACAGTCTGTGACCCACACCTTTCCTGTGAGCCCTTTCCAAGTGCGCACGCACAGTGATCTGTGCTAAGGGCTCTGAAAAGCAACCCAGAACTCAAAAGTCATTTCTGTTGCCCTGGCTGGTGTGGCTCAGTTGGTTGGGGCATCGTCCCATGCACCAAAAGGTTGCAGGTTTGAGCCCCAGTAGGAGCACCTGCAGGAGGCACCCGATCCATGTTTCTCACATCGATGTTTCTTTCTCTCTCTCCTTCTCCCTCCCTCTCTCCATTTAAAATCAATTTAAAAAAGAGAACTATTTATAAAAAAACAAAACAAAAGTAAAATAAGTAAAAGTCATCTATGTTTTGCTTGGTGCTATTTGGTAACTTTTTTAGGGTAGCAGTTAGTAACTAGGTAAATATTAAAGATCAGTCTTTACGTCACTACTGCATAGGGCTTATACCTATGTGTTTATAATAGCAAACAATGGTAAACAGCACGGATCTCCAACAACGGAGAACTGACTAAAAACTGCTGGTTTAATGCAGCCAGTAAGAGGCATGAGCTCAAATAGTATTTTAATAACACAGGAGGTTGCTCAGAACATAATGTTCAGTGAAGAAACTTGGGATACAGGACTGAATGTTATAAAGAGAATTTTGAAATTTCAAAAAGCAGCAATAAATCTATAAACTCCCTCCCT